GGATTTGAAACCCCTGAACAGGAGAGGAGGATGTATTCACCTCATAATTTTATTATGGAAATCTACCCATAAAGCATTAATTACACTAAAAAAAAGATGAAGGATAGGATTTATCATGTTGCATCTTTTCTTCAACATGGAACATCTCCCCACTCTTTGGAATAGGGTCGTGACTGATGTCCTAAGAAGGAAGCATATAGGAGGGTACCTGCTCTTTTAATCCTTATACATGATGATTCATACTTTAGTGGACAAATAGATTCCATCTGTACATGACAGTGATGATTTTTAAGTTGTGTCCATTAATTTTCCATATGAATAGATATTTCGTTCTAAATAATTTAAGAACATAAAAGAAAGACTTGTTGCGTAGAAATATGTTTAGAAATCATAAAAAATTGGATTACTCGTAAGAAGCTGATAATGCCCTATGTTGATATATATATTCGGGCAATATTTAGCATTAACTTAAGATGGTGTCTCTATGCAGGTTAAATAATGAGATTGGTAACTTTATATGTTACAAAACCTTGCTAGATATGACATGCGCCTTCAATCTCCTGAAGGACGTGTATAATAGGGAGGTCTAATCTGTAGGCAAGTGTGTGTGACATCTTAATATGTACCTAAGACTCAATGTTGTATATCTATGCCTATGTGGATATATAGCAATATAAACATAAGAATTGTAGGGGCATAATTAAGTGATTGAAGGTTATCTATGTTTTGAGGAATTGTGATAATGAGTCACACTAACCCTAATATCAGCCAGTAAGTATTATACACGATGCCAATAGTCACTATTAGGATATAATATTTTCTCCTTCCTAACTAGTCGGACAAGGAATCTTAATCAGATGGAGCTCTGGAGCATTTTAAAGGTGTTCATCCCCCGGTCTCGTAGTGATTTTTTCTTGGGGCTTTTATATTCCATAGTAAAAACATCAATTTCTTTGTGCATTTATAAAGGTTCAAGCATGTTTTAGGAAGGAAACTCCCTGAGTATCAACCCAGATGCAAGGGGGTTAATCCTTCTACTGTCTTGAACTAAGGACTATGGTACAATCAATAGTCAGATACTGTCACAGAGAGTCTTCATAGTAGAGAAGGCATAGAATACAGTCACAACAACTAGGATAAGAAATTTGAATAAGACATTACCTTTAAGAAGGGCAAGGTACAAGACACGCTGGTTCCCTGTTGTTACAGGGATGGTCTATACAGGTGAGTAGGTAAACACCGTTATACCAATCTCTTTACGGAAAACATGGAGGGATCCAGTTAGATCCCATGTTATACGACCGTAACTCTAACAGTAGAATTACAAAGACCAGTATGCAAGGACGAATCCTAGACTAGGATTACGCGCCCCCTATTGAACAAATAGGGAATTGAGTAAATTTGCATCGAGGATTGTGCAGGAATGAATGATTCATTGGAATGAGGAAGAAAGTATACGACGTGTAAGAAATCCTTGTATAAGTAATAATTAAATAATCAATTGCATAATTACTTTTTATAAAAGAATACAATTCCTTCTTGTGGATATCCTATTTTCTAGAGGAGTATAGATAGTGAAAGCTGCAGGATTAGAAATTACAGATCGTATTCGAATATGGATATAATAGTCGTCTATATTAATGCATAGATTATATGAAAGTAGGAAAACGTTCAACTTCCTGATGAAGTAATGAGCTGAATAAGGGGAAGTCGCAATAAGAGTCAAAATAATTACAGCTCAGTCAGGATAATATGGTATTCCCGTAAAGTCATCCGTAGGAAGGCATTATATATTAGTCTGTATCCGAAAACGTCAAATAAGGTATACACAGATGTAACTCCACCAATAGTCGCTCGGTATATACGGATCAGAGGCAATACATAATATTACAAAAATGACGGATGAATGAGCAGGGGTCCTTTAGACAGTGCACTCTTATGCACAGGATCATGACATGTAGGGAAATGTGTTAAATAGTTGATAACGAATAAATTTCGAAGGAGTAATACATATAAAGTATCTGAGTCAGTAAATGAATAAGCGTTCTAAATGTGTATAGACTACGAACATTATAAGAACCAGGATAAAATAATGATCCAATATAATACAGGAAGTATCGAGGTAGTAACAAAAGGATGAGAAGAATACGGTGGGAGTTAACGAAGAATAAGAGATATATGAATATTTATAATAGGATATCCCAACCGAGGTAATATAGATGGCACTGAATGCTAGAGGCATCAGGGGAAATACGAGTCGAAAGGATTTAAGAGGGTTTATTGTATTCGCTCCACTAAGATGTAATATCCTATAATGGCTTCTTGTGATTTTATAACTACAAATATATAACAGTTTTAAATAATTTTCTTTAAATTTCTGTTAAACTATGGCAGGTATTATAATAGTCATCCTGTCCAGAAGAAGGGGTAATTACAACAAGTTACTCTCCGGCTGGACAAAGCAACCAACACCTAGACAGAAGGATGTGATTCATCCTAGAACCGGGGAGAGGCAATAGTCCAACTGGATCAGTGTGAATTGAGTAATTAGCAATAAATAGTTGTGTCAAGGGGCCCGCAGAAGGGGAAAGCAGTTATAGAAGATACCAAATAGTAAAGAATATAAAACATTCCCACCAAAAGAAGCTTCTCCCCAAAGGGATAAAGTGAACTGCCCCCCAGTGTTATCAGTGTGCATTGAGAAGGGACCCCCTGAGTAAGGAAAAACCCCGAGATAAAGACGAATAAAGTGGGACCAAAGGGGCTTCCCAGGAAAGGACAACTCAAAGAATAAAGAAGGAGTTTCTGAGATTACAACAGTAAAATATCAAGGCGTCCGAAGGGGTACACCTGTCGTGGAGGGGGAACAAGGAACCAGACACCGGCCCCTGATATAGTCTATGATTTAGAACAAGCCCATGACCTTAGTCAAAGGTAATGACCAATGAAAAAATGACAGTTTATATCCGAAGGATCCACAAAACTCCCAACCCACCCGAAGGAGCTAAGTGAAGAAAAGAATACCACCCGCCAAAGTGCCTCAGTAGAGGGCTCAGTATGCCTCGAAAAAGTTAAAGTAGTAGATAATATAAGAAAACAGCAACATGACGAGAAAATATCATGAACAACATTCCCTATGAAATATGTATCATGAATGATCCGACTCAAATGACCCAACTCCAAAAAAGGAAAAGTAGGGCCTTGCAACCAACTTAGAATCTGACAATCCCAATCCCCTACGAGTCAAAAGGGGAGGAAGGCAACGCTTGTAGAGTTCCTAAGGGTCACCCCCCGGGCTATCTAAAAAAGGGAGAAATATCCAGCCGAGGAAACTTAAGCATTAAACCAGGACTAAAAAGAAGAAAACATTGAGGAACCAATACCAAGTATCTATACAACCACAGAGCAGTCACTATAACACTCCGAAGGTAACCTAAGCCAACATCCACGAGATTCCGGAGCCAGGAAAGAAAAACCCAAAATCCCCGAACTCTACCTGGGCAAATAACCGCGGAACTATCAGGAACTCAATTAAGGAATAAGAAACAAGCCAAGGGGCATAGGAATCCGCAGAAACAAGATAAAATTGAGCGTGCAAGATTGAGTATTTATCACTAATCAAGTAGTCCAAATATAAAATAAGCCAGTGCTCTAAGCGTGACTCTCAAATAGCAGAACGAAGTGAGACTACGGGGACTTTTTTCTAAGATCTCCAGAATTTAGCAGTCATTCGAATAAATCCAGGCACCCCCACAGCGGCTCCTGGCTGGATGCACTAAGAAAGAGAATTGTACCGAAAAATTCTAACTGTAACACAAGGGCAAATCGAGTGCAGAAGTAGGAACAGCAAAGAATCAGATGAACTGATGCAAGAAGCTTTAAATGTGGCGTGGACCTTAGATGACTGGGGGCGGCCGCGAAGTTCCTGGGGATATCCAAACAAAACAGCTGGGAAATGTTCAACGAATAACCGTGTACCATATTGTTACCCCTCCTTAGTGAAAAAAGGTAAGTCAAGATGGGAAGGGCTGAATGAATGGTTAAATAAAGTGTTAATAGGATCAAAAGAGGACCAGTGGGACAAGGAATTCAACCCCACTATAAGCTCAGGGATTAAGGATAATGACAAAAACGAGTTCAACTGGGGTCAGATAGTGGATAAGATCATTGACAAAATACAAGGAAACCAACTAGTAACAACTCATGAAGATCACAAGAACAGGATATGGACAGGACAGGAGTGGAATGCAGTATTAAATGAAGATACAATCTCAACTGTAGCCTGGCATGACACAAAGGATGGCAAAAAACTTCTCATACTCATAGTATGTATTTTTACTGGATTAATCGATTCACTGACTGAAGGCAGCAACAAATATCCAGGAAGGAGGAAGATGTGCGACCATGTCGACAATGCATTAAGGAATTCTCGGAACAAGTGGAAGAGTTGGTTTGGGAACAGCGGCCCCCCCCCAGGGAAAGCAACAACAGAATGCATAAAAGGGGAAATAGGAGGCAGGTGCAACGATGCAGCTATGAGTTTAGTCCTAACAGTATATACAGGAATGAGCCTATTCTGTCCAGAATGTGGGCCATATTATATCGACAGATGGGTTACAGATTCTGGAACTGAGGAACCCAAATCAAAGTGGTACTATTGTGGAGTAGAAGATAACAAACTACAATGTGATAACAAAGGAGAGAAGGATGAAAAATCCCGTAAATTATGGATGAGCCCCAAGAACAAATTGGGTTCCGACTGTCGGCCTAATTGTACTCAAGGAAACCAAGCATCAATATCCGGAGAGGAACAATCCACTAAAATAAAAGGAGTAGAGATGACTGCCAGGAGCTTCCCCGGAGCCGGGAGACAGCCGGACGACCCCAACAAGAATACAACGTTAAAAAATCAGCCTGAATCAAAAAGATTGGGGACAACTAAGCGCCTATCCACTGTCTCAGATACCCCCATAGGACGAACTTATCAAACTCAAAGGGATGACAACCGGAGCCCCTCCCCATCGTCCAACAGTGGCGCAAGGTTAACCGAAGCGAGGGAACAGCAGTCAAGCACATCGCAAGTGGACCAAAAGAAGCCAGGAGAAAGTCGAAACCAGGGCATATCCCCGTTAGGGGGACAACGCAACGAGGCAGTGACAGACAACTCAGCAATAACGAGGAAGGAAGCGAAGTCAGGTCAGGAGGGTGTAGGACTCTACAGCATTATAGGTGGTATAATTGGCGTTCTATTACTAGGCCTGGCGGGGGCCTATGGGATATTTAGAATTTGGGGCCCCCAGAGGAGTCGGGGCAGGAAGAAAAGAGCCTTCGGAGGAAGAGACACGATGAGTTATGGTGACAGAAGCAACTCAGGAGGGGACAAGATCAATATTTCAGTCCTTCCTGTTGCGGCATAGAATAGGAGGGTTGAGCCGCTTGGGCGAGTATGAGTATAGCTGTGGTCCAGGTTTTCGGATTGGGAAGTAACCCATACTATTATGATCTCCTCCCCACGAGAAGTTGATACACTCGTCTACAACGTTGAATCAGACCCTATTTGTGCAAATGGGTGAACAAAGTAATTCTGTCCCCCCTAGGATGACCTTCCTTCAATATATTAGTTCTGCCCCAAACAATATGTTATGTGTTCAAGTGAGTCGAGATTAAGTCTAAATTGTGTTAAGATGTGTACCATCTTTCATTTTATTAGTCTATTTGTCCGTTAATTAATAGTGACTCCACAACTGTATGGTTGTTAGAGGACTTAGAATGACCCAAATGGAACAATCAATAGAACCATTCTAACACATAATTAGATGTAAGGGAGCATCTTAGACAACAAAGAATTGAACTATGAGTCAATCTATGAATTCCAACGACTTTCACCTGGCATGGGTTGGGATGTCCCTTCCTTATAAGGGGTGGTACCAGCAAAGTGAACCATAGACAACCAGAAGGGGTCCGATTTCGGACCTACAGGAGTTGTCATTTTATCATCTAGGATTGATCTGTCGGACCAGAAAATAGGAGAACAACCACTTGAAAGGGTGTCTTTGTCCTTAGTAGGGTGAAGCAACCCCCCCAATAATAGGGGGTTGTCTTATAAGTAGGTTATAGGAGTACCCCCTTAGAAAGGGTCAAATGGAACAACCATTTCATCAACCATTAGATTTGTTCTATGTTTCGATCTACCCTTATTAGTACCGTCATGGAAGTGTGTTATCAGAGAAAAGTTGTTTGTGTCGAAGATGAAGTGACCATTATATGGACCCCCCCAACCACTATGAACAGTAAAGGGGACTGGCATGACAACCATGGATTAGACAACATGAGAAGTTGTTTTTTGTCAAGAATTAGGATGGACACCGGATTTAGGTTGCCCCCAGAAATGGTTGTATTGGAATGGGATGTGTGTAAATTGAACAACAACCTATAACATCAACCTATATAAGGAATGAATAGCCAGTAGACAGATTATGTACACAAGAAAGGGGTGTTGACAATAAAAATTGGACCCAGGAATTAGGAAAGAATAACCCTATATAGGATGTTAGGAAGAGTCATTTTGGACTCCCCCTGTCTATAGTGGTGTGATTAAGCCAAAATTAGGGAGTTGTCTGACAATCGAATTTTACCCCCCCCAAGAGGCACCCCAACCTAAGTCGTGGTATTAGACTAGTCGTGGAAGGGGTCAAAAAAAAAAGTTTTGGAATTCGGGTTTAGAAAGGTTGAATCATCATTAGACACGTATATTATGAGTTTTTATACCGGTTTTGAAGTGATATCTGGATCAGGTGGAAAAATTTCAGAGGGTCATAACATCGTCCTATATTATAGGGGAAGGACTGTGATGAAGGAATCAAGCTTCGTCTAACAAGAGTTACCATGACAAGGATGAATAATCTGCTACTGAATTAGTGAATCCCATGGAAGAATTGTTCTAATTCCGGTTTTAGAGTTGTCTTCTGTTTATTGTCTAATGAATCAACAACTATTAGAAATTGTCCATCAGAAGTGGGAAGAAGCCGTAGTAAGGGGGGAGTCTTCCTTTGGTAAGAGATGACATCATCCTACATTAGGAAGCTTCAACAGATTAGTTCTAGTGTGGAATCAAGTGGACATGGGTTCGATTCCCAGAAATGACAATTTTCCAACCGACCAAAGACTAAGTCAGGTAAAGAAGTCGACCCATGAGAAGAAGGGGGTGCCTTCCCCCCTTGGAATAAGAAGTACCTTTACAACATGGACAACCATTAGAAGGAGTTGTCAATCGTCGATTAGGAGTTGTTAGACAAGGATTGTAATGCAATCTAGATTTGTCCTAAGAAATTAGGTTGAACCCATTAGGATTTTGTAAGCGGGTTGGACAACCAACTAGACTCCTTCCTTGGACAAGGATGAAGTAGGTAGTCCATCTTGGAAAGGGTTGGTTGACCCCCCTTGGAATGTCATTAGACAACCAACATCTTAGAATATTAGAATTAACCTAAGTTAGACAGCCTATATATTATGAATTAACCCTTTATTTTAGTAGAATCCTCCATTTAAGGGGGTCTATACCGTGATTAGGGGAGGGGGTGGCCATTAGAAGGAAGAGTAACCCCCTTTTGGAAGTTGAACAACAACATTAGACAACACTTCGGATTCCGGATTTAGATTGGAATAGAACAAATTAGAACAAATGAATGTGTTGTAAGTCAGGGTTTAGGGGGTCGAAGAACAACCATTAGCATTAGTCAACCGTTGTACTAGACAACGATTGGGAGTGTATTAGGAAGGGGTTGTGACAACATGAAAGTTGCATTTCAGGTTGAGGACTAACATTTCGGGTTTTTAGCTAAC